TCCGAACGGAGTTGTTGGGTTACGCAGATCGGCGCTTGGGTGGATTGGATGTCGGTGCCTGGGTAGTCGAACGAGCGGCTGGCCGGCTGCTGGATTCTTCACCTTTTCCACAAGCTTACAGCAACAGCAAAAGCTTGGGGTGGGGGCTAATGATAAGCCGCACTTAGCTGTTGCTGCTCCTGCTCCGGTTGCTGTTGCGCTTCCTCTGGCCCAGGTCTTCTGCTCCAGAATTATCCGTCCATCCTGGCAACCTCTTCTCCAGCGAGCCCTCTATCTCGAATATGCGTTCTTTTCCCAACATGCTTTTCCGTACCTTAGTCATTTGTATCTCTTTCTGCAGCTGCCAGCAGCAAGCTTCATGAGATGAGGATTTCCAGGACTACGTGCTTTGGCTGATTACCTGTCTGTCTGAACAGCAGAATTCAGAACATGTTCAGGCTTCAATGAACTCGGGATGCTTAAACCCTTGCTTTTCTCTCCAGTACATCTGTGATTTTGTCTGACATTTTGCCTCAATTCTCTGGAAGAGTTCCTGAAGCGAAGAGTGAGTGGAGAGTGACTGGCGGAGGGGCCGGCAAACAAGCGAGGTTCAGCTCCTAATCATTATCATCTATTTTCAGGCAGCAGTAGCAGCAGCAGCACCAGCAGCAGTGATGGCTCTGGTTGAGATGTGTCTGGCTTAATCATAGCACCGTTGATTTCTCTTCCAACAAGTCAGCCGGCTGGATTGCATTTTAGTTGCACAGACACAAGCAATAATAAACAACGGATCTCATGCTGCTCTGAGTTAATTAAGGGTTGAAGAATTCGGGAAACAGTACTACAGTCAAGTTACTTCCGGCATGCGGAAATCTAAAAGCGAGTTTGCATCGGTGCAAATTTGCTATACTACCGGTCACTGGGCAGTTAGCAATTTCACGGCTAAGACATAGGATAATATTCAGATACTGTTATACCAAACAATTGTACGGCGCGGGAGTTTCGCGCTCGAGCAACATGCGTTCCTGCTGATCCACGTTTAACGCTGATTCTGCGCGTGCATCGTGGTCACTGCCTCAACGAGGCTGGTGCTATTGAGGTGCTGCTCAGTGGCGCCAGTAAAAAAATCCTAAAACTTTACCTTAGCGCATAGCTTGCCGCAAGGCAGCATGAAGGAGAGAACAAGATACCTTGTATTTCAAGCCGCTATAGGTGGCCCAGGAATTCGAGTGGTTCTCTGCACTAATTTCTCAGCTTCCTACCCGAAACCGGTGGCTGTAGCCCATCAGGAAGCCCACGATGTCCACTGCAATAGCGGCGAGAACTTCGAATTTTTATCAATTTTTACACCACTTGTGTAGCAATATACTTAAAATATATTCAGTATGTCTTTGGGCAAGATTAGAAACGATGTTGTGTGGAACAAGTAAGTAAAATTCGCCTTGGGACTAGCGAGAAAATATATGCATTTTACATGTAAAATAGCAGGTAGGTGTGGAGCAGC